CTTTCTGCCCTGGTGGGAAAGGGGCTGCGCCGCACCCGCTTCCCAGGGCCCTCTCCCGCCGTGGTGGGGGAAGCAGTGGGTGCTGGGCTTGGGCCTCGTCCCACTCTTAGAGCCCCATCCTGCCCGGGGAGGGAAAGAGTGGGTGTGGGGGCTTGTGTCTCATCCCCATCCCAAAGCTGCACCTTGTCCTGCTGAGGGAAGGAGTGGGTGCTGAGCTTGAGCATCATCCCCCTCCCAAAGCCTCATCCTGTCCTGCTGGGGGAGTGGTTGGGTGCTGGGCTTGGGCCTCATACTCCTTCCAAGACCTCATCCTACCCTGATGAGGGAAGGGCTGGGTGCTGGCTTGGGCCTAATCCCCCTCCTAAGGCCTCATCCTGCTCTGGAGTGGCTGCTAGGGCTGTGGTCTTTTCTTCCTCCCTCAAGACCCCATCCTGCCCTGGGATGGGGAGGGGGTGGCTGCCGGAGCTGTACTATTACCCCTTCCCAGGCCCATCCTGCCCTGGGCTGGGTGCTGGGGCTTTGTGGTTTTCCTCAGAGAGGGCTGGACTTGGGTGGCAGGACCCTAAGGGCCAGCTGTGATCTTGTGGTTTAGGGATAAGATGTGTATGTGGTGCTGCTGGGAGGATGCCTCTGTAACCCCGTGGGGGAATGAGCTAAGACGGAGGCCTTGCTCTGTGGTGTTCAGGTGGGTGGATGGGGTGGCACTCAGAGCTGTTCCCTGCCCCATGGTGGGTGCAGGGGACCCTCCCTCCAGCAGCAGAGCCGGCTGCCAGCCCCTGTTGTGGTTTGCCTGTGAAGGATGCTGTGCCCTGGAGCAGTGCGGTGCTGGGGAGGGCAGGCTGGCCAGCGCTTGCAGCTCTACTGAAGGATAATTGGTTTTTTTCTATGGCGCTTGGCCCTTGAGCAGTGCGGTGCTGGGGAGGGCAGGCTGGCCAGCGCTTGCAGCTCTACTGAAGGATAATTGGTTTTTTCTATGGCGCTGTTGGCCCTTGGCAGCATGGGCCTGCACTGAGATGCTCCTTGCCTAAACAATGAGGAGGGAAGATGCTTTTTGCAGGTCACTCTGTGGCTGGTTATATAATGGCAAATGCCCTCTGAACTCAGTGTGCAGTGGAGGTGTGCGAAGGCCTGATGTGTGTGAGAGCTTGCTTGCCCTCTTTCCCTAAAGAGGCTTGTCTTGAAAGAATGACCCACAAGTGAATTTCTGCTACTTCCCTTTTCCTGTGGGCTGGACCCCCAGAAGACTTTTCCAAGGGATTGCCAGATTCCTGGATAGTGAGTCCAAATCTACAGGCAGTTGGTTGGGCTGTTCTGAGCCATGTCTTGTCCTGCCAGGGTTTCTGGGCCACAGGCTAACGCCCACTGGCTTAAACCACAGCACGGAGGGGAGCTAACTGCTTGGAAGTGGCTTTTCCAGAGCTGTGGTAGGGGCGTGTGCTCTCTGTTGGCGTTTGAGCTCAGTGCCCGTCGTTCCTCCTGATGCTATTAGTGTATGTTAATAGCAGTGCTCAATTAAACATTGTATCTAAAACATATAAATTAAGATTGCAATAGAAGTCTTCAACTGCAGGCAGAGTGAAGAATTGAAGTATTGTAATCATAGGGCTGCAATTATGTAACTGGATTCTCTTTCTCTCTGGATAGCAGGCTCCTTTAATTGCTGTAACAAAGCTACTCCTTCAGCTTTCTGGGGCTGTTCCAGGAAGCGATCATTGCAGCAGATTTTCTTCACTCCCCAGTAGAGCTAAAAATGTGTAGTTTCACTATTTCAAAGCATGCTTGGTAGTATCACTCAAGACTTACAGTACTGTAAAAGGATTTAGGAAACTTAATGGTGCTCTGCAGGCTTAATTTGAGGTGCTCCTTGCCATTAAGAAACTTATTCCCACAAAGTTTTAATATGCTCTGGTAAGAGCTGCTGCCAAGGTGAGCAGCAGCTGTGGTCTTTCTCAGCACAGACCTTTGCTTGACTGGTCCCCCAGATAACATGTGCCTCCTGACTGGGCCTCATGTGTGGCTTGGGATCGAGGGGTCTGGTGCCTGGAGGGGTGTTGGAGTGTGCCAGCCAGCACGGGGCTCCTTCCCCAGGGCACGTGTTGCGGCCTTTGCTTGAAGAAAGGCTGCAGGGCTGGGATTGCCAAATCCCCATTTTTCTAGGATAATATGATCTGCACTGGAAACTTCCTAATGCTGAACACCTCCCTGGAAAGGCCATGGCAGATCTACATGTAAATGGCTTCAGTGACTGGTATGAAGCACCTAAACTAACTTAGAGTGAAGGGGGCTACACACTCAGTGCCAGTATACAACTTTCTAGTTTCTTAAAGGTCATGGGCAGCACTAGCATGCTGGTTTCTAGCATCTGTGTTGTGGTTCACAGGCAGGAGGAGGAGGAAAAGGAGGCTGCTTTGCCAGGCCCTAGCTGTGCTAGCTCTGTGGTGGGGCTTGCTTCCCCCTGCCCCTGTTTCTAAGCTGCAGCATGGTGTTAACCTGTTTCTGGCTCATCAGACCGGCTTTGTCCTGTGGGAAGACCTGAAGTCTGGGTTTCAGTGGCAAAGCAGTGGTGAGGTAACGATGATAGGCTGAACATGGAACAACACTCCTTCCTGGCTAAACTAGCAGCAGTAACTAACTCCTGGCGTGGGGTGGAATAAAAAACACTGCTGCTGTTAACATGCTTCCTGAGCCTCCCTGCTGGAGACGGGCAGTCTGGGGTCCGTTGCTTGCAAGGCTCTGAGCAGATGATGCTCCAAAGCACTGGTGCACCTCAAAGGCAAACTTGGCTGTAGCCTATTGATGTATAGGAGGGCTGTAGCTCTCTGCAGATCCCGTCTCCTCCCACACAGTAAGCTTTTTCTGCATGTGTTTAATGCAGGTGCTGGTGTTGGGCTATCTCTTATCTAACCTCCAGACAGTGCCAGTGCTACAGTGCTCCAGCTATAAGGGGCACCTTAACCTGGGACTACTGTAGGCTACCCTGATAAACTCACCCTGGGCGTAACAGGGGGTTTGTAGTATCAGCTTGTGACGCAGCCTGCCATAGGAAGGACAACCTCTGATGTACAAGAAGCTTCTCCTTTCTTGGGAAGGGATTAAAGGAATCGTATGTTCTGCCTTAGGTTCACGATGTCTGACAGAAAGGCTGTGATCAAGAATGCGGACATGTCCGAGGACATGCAGCAGGATGCTGTAGACTGTGCTACACAGGCAATGGAGAAGTACAACATAGAAAAGGACATTGCAGCATATATAAAGAAGGTAACTAAGGGATGAGGGGGCTGCTCTGGCTGAGACTTCCTGAAGCTCTTAAGTATGTGTGCCTGTCATGAGCCTGAGTGTCTGTCTGAGACTTCATACTTGTGTGTTTGGAGGAAGAAGATGCTTTCTTCTTGACTTCTTTACTGCTATTCCCAGGAGGATGGAGTGACATCTCCAAGGTCAGAGGAGGGCTATGGCAGAGCCAGGCCTGGTCTGTTGCTCTGGCAAGTTCTGAGCAAACAGTGAGAGTGCTGTCCCTCTGGATTTGCCAGCCTAGAAAGAGCTGGCTGCAGTCTCTCTTTAGGCCTTGCTCCACAGATGCTGCTGCTTGACTTGCAGTACCAGTGCAGGGTGGGATTGCTCTGTTTCATTCAAAGTGGGTAGCTGTGCACATGTGGTTCTGTCTGCTATGTTCCTGGCTCCGGGGTGGGTGGTGTGGAGGAGGATGGGGCCTTGTGCTGGCTGGCAGGGTTGTGAAAGGTGCTGCTTTAAAAACAGTGCAAGCAGCTGCCCTGGCTTGTGAAGAGGTGTCTCCCCATTTGCAGGAGCCTATTAACTTAAGTCTCATGCTTGACAGCATCTGTCAGTTCCCCCTGTAGCCACTTCTCCGAATGGTGAGGCAAAGTGCTTTTGAAGGAGGAAAGTGTGACTTCATAGGCAATGCGGTCCTGGCACCTGGGCTAGCTTTTGGGCCTTGCTTGTAATCTAAGCTTGAATGTAAAGGATTCAAAGGTGTCTCCTTACCTCTCAGATCACTTTGAGGCAAGACTTATCTCAAAGTGCTTGGGGCAATGCAGCCTGTAAAGTGAGCGAGTGCAACAGAAGGCATCCAAAAAGAAGTTGGCCTTTATTTCCTGAGAGTGTGTTGGGAGGAGGGAAGCAATTTGATGCACCTTCATGCCCTGGCAAGAAAGCCTTTTCCTTACTTCAAAGGTTATCTGCAAAGAGCTCAAGCTGTCTTGCTGCTGTCTGAGGACTAACACTTGCTTTAATCTTGAATGTTGAGTCTGTTCTACTGGCTCTGTCTCAGGGGAGGGAAGGGTGTTCTTGGGAGTTGTGTATTAATTAGAGGGAGGAAAATGGTCTTTAACCCTGTCTTACCTGCTAAGGAGGAGAAGACTGACTATTAAGCCAGCATTCAGCTTGCTCACCTCTGGCCTCTTAGGTCTCCATGTGCTGTCTGGCCTGTGAATTTGCCTGCTCATTTTCAGTGCAGATTTTTTTCTCCCTTTTATGCGAAGAAGAGTCCCAAACAGCAGAAGCTAGACTTCTCCTTCCTTTTTTTAGGTGACCTTTAAGCTCAAATGCCTTGCTGGAGCAGACATGCCAAAATCTTTTTTATTTTTTGAGTGGGTTTGGAATGGGAAAGGAGAAATATTCCCCTGAGCTAGCCTACACGCAGGGCTTGAATAGCACTGTACCAAGGAGAGCTCTTAGGTCTGCTCTTTCTGCTCAGGGCTGATGGGTGGTCTAAGTATCAGGAGATGATTCGCTTGCATTGGATTCTTCAAACAATCCAGAGCAGAGGTCTGGTTGTGTCAGTTGCTACTTCACTTAATATAATAGTGTCTTGCAGTGGGGAATCTAAAGATGCTGCAGGTGGGAGGAGAGGCGATAGTGTGTGAACAGAACCAGCTAAGAATTTGTGCTTAGAACTATTTTCATGTGGGCTTTCTTGGCCTTAATGCCTCTCTTCTCTTTCTTCAGGAATTTGACAAGAAATACAACCCAACTTGGCACTGCATTGTTGGCAGAAACTTTGGCAGCTATGTAACACATGAGACAAAGCACTTCATCTATTTTTACTTGGGTCAGGTTGCAATTCTTCTCTTCAAGTCTGGATAGGAAGTAGGAGCAAGTGAAATTTGGACTGTAATGCACTGATGGCTGAAGCCACGACTCCCTTTAACATGGCTATGCCGCTGCATGGACTGTATACTATATTTAATGTGTATATGTTGCAGTAAAAATCTACTTCTGTTTAGTTGCCTGGGAAGAAGGCGGCATTTTTTTTGTTACTGCTTTTTTTTGGTTGTATTGCACTAGGAAACCTGTAAATGCTTAAACAATGGCCTTTACGTGGGAAGAAATAAAACTATTCCACAACAGCTCCCTCAGTGGTAACTCCTTCTTTGAGGCTGGGAAAACTTCTTTGGGCAGGCCAAAAGACCCTGACTTCCTTACTGAGTTTTATTAGACTGTTAATCTTGTAACAAGGAGCAAAGCCAGTGTGAGCCTCTGTACCCACCCTGCAGACTGTAGAGAGCTGGCTCTCCCAGTAACCTCAGTGCAGGTGCTTAGACCTTCCCTGAAAGCTGGTGGGGTGGCTCTTGATTATGTGGCTTTCACACACAAGTTGAACTCCACCTCGGACTGTGATAAACAGACTTGCAGCTGGCACCCTCGGTGTTCTCTTTCAGTGCCCATCACTGTATTTTTGGCTCTGCTGAAACATTGACCTAGACTTGTAAGCAACTCAGCCTGGTCTAGAAGACTTCTACAAACATCCCCCCGAGTTGCTGCTTGCTGCAGAAAGCAGCATCCTGTGGCTGAAGTCTTTAGACCTTGATACTGAGATCTAAAGCCACGTAGCCCGTTCCCGAAATGGAGTAGGATATCAAATTGGTGACTACTGACAACAGCTCTATTTGGCATGTTCTTAGCCAGTTGTCTCAACACTGCCTTAACTTGATGCTCTCCTTAAAGCAAGCTAGTCATGTGGAAGACTTGTAAGTGGCCACTGTCTCCTTTTTTATTTTCTGTAGCTGATAAGCTATTTCTGGAGGACTGTCCTCCATGTTCTGATATCTGCTTTTGTTCTTAAAGCACAGTACCAAGAAGTTAAATTTACATGTGATGTTTGTGTGAAGGAAACTCATGTGACATCTGCTTCAAAGGCAGACAAATGTCTTGGTCTCCAATAGGTTCAGCAGTGATGTTGTCTTAGTATGTACTGACTCTTGGATTACACTGCAGGAAGTTCTTTTTATCTGGGTGTGGAGAAATGCTGTGTGATGGCAATTAAATATCTGGTGCTTGTCATAAGGTCTATTTATTGGTTTGCTAACTAATGCAAAGTTAGCGATAGACAATATGCATAGACAATATCACTGGGCTGGTGAGCCAAACTTGTTTGAGATGAATTTGGTGTTGGTAATAAGTCACTGCTGGGGGAGAAAGAGCAGAGTGAAGGGAGCTCTTCATTGTGAAATGAATTGATGACCCAGGTTGACTACTTCCTGAAGTAAAAGTCCTTCTTGTCTCTGTGCAAAATCCAAAGTATGCCTAATTTTGTAATATTGATAGAACAATGTTGTAACTAGAAAGAATGTAGCTGTCATAACTTCATGTTGATGGAAATGTCTGCACTGGGGTAATGTGCCTTGGACTGCCTGGGGCACTCTTGTGGTCTTGTCTATTCAGAACTCCATTCTGGATCTGAAAGGAGAATGTTTTGGGTTTGGTTTTTTTTCCAAGCATGAGTCTAATGTGAACCTGTTCACGGTCTCTCGTGGAGCAAGATCTTTTCCCTTCATAACTGCAATGGCTCAAATACCACTTATTTTTTTCAAACATTAAAGGTGAATTGACACATTTAAACAGCCTCTAGTTTTTTCTTCATTGCCAGCTGTCCCAAGCAAAAACTGCACTTGTCCAGAGAGGGTGAGCAGTGAGTTCTCTGCGCTGGGAGATGCTGATGACCCAAAGGAGGCAGGTCTGCAGAGGGAGAAACCTGACCTGAAGAGCATATGTGGCCCATCTGTGCTGGTGCTGACCTCCGGCCTGGCTCAAACACTGTGCCAGAAGGAGGGATCGAGGGGAGTGGAGTGTGTCCTGCTGCAGCCCTGATGGGATGCTTCTGTGCCAAGTAACCTAGATATGGAGGCACTGGGGCTAACCTCTTAATGACTTCAGACAAACCGGGGGTGGTATAGCAGCTGGGGTCCTGGCTCCTGTACACACTCAAAGGTGTCTCCCTGCTTTGCAGGAAAGTAGGTTTCCCCTTCAGGCTTCCTCCCTGTGCTTGGTAGAAAGGAGAGATCTGAAACTCCTGCCAGTTGCCTGGAGCTGGTGTGTGTTTAAAGCCTCTTGCACTGCAGGGGCTGTGGGCTTGCCCTTAACCCCCCTCAGCTGGCTACCTTGGTCCTGATGCAACCTAAATTTGGGGTTGTGGCCTCCCTGATATTCTGGAAAAGCTGTGGGCACTTAACCAACTACAGTAGTGTAACAGCTATGCTGTGGGGCAGTAACACCAGCATGAGAAACAAGGGGAAGCTGGGCTGCAGACAAGCATGACTCAGGCTAAGCAGCTATAAAATGAGCTGAACCCAAAACTCCAAAGCAAGCAGCAGTATGGCTGTTACACACAGGCAATCTGCTATAACCTAAACCTGGCAGTGCTGGAAAGCAGAGGTGGTTTCTAATTTGGGGGGAGCTCGGTAGTCCCAGCCAGCTTTTTAGCTGGAAGTGTAGTTACAGGGCTTAAGCTCCAGCCATGCTGTGCTGGGGCTCTGCGCTCCTGGCCTGGCTAGGTCTGAGTTAATGCTGCGGCTCCAAGAAAACATTTGGAGCCTTGTGGGGCTGGGGTGGTTGAGCCCTCTTGCTGAGCAGGGCTCTTAGTCAAAGCTAGTGTCAGAGAAACTGGCTCCTGAATGCCAGCTGCAGCACAGGAGGCTGCTAATCCAAACCTGAGGTGAAAAACTTTTCCAGCCTGAGTTCTGCCTGTGGGAAAGCACCCCTTCCAGCCACGTATCCAGTGGCTGTGGTGCTGGTGTAAATCGGTCCCTGGTGGGATGTGGAGGCCCTGCCAGGGCTGGAGGGACGGTGTGCCCTGGAGCTGATGCAAGCAAGTGGAAAGTGGGTTTAGTGCTTCCTTGGATGTGTCACTGCAGCAGGAGTCCTGCTTCAGGCTAAGGAAAAGAAGCTCTAGCTCACACCTTTAGCAATTAGGCAGTGAAACTGAGCCCTGCTCACCTCCCCGTAACCCCTGCAATGGACACCAGTACTGTGCATCCTCAGCCTTTCCCCTAAACCATCTTTTGCGTAGCACTGGGGCTCTAGAAGATACAAACTTCCTCAAGTTAAGCAGTGCTTCCCTCTACGTGGCTGAGAGCAGGGTGAGGTTTTAAGGTGGAGCTTTCTGTCCCTGCTGCCTTCCCCTCCTGCTCCCCAGCAGCTGTCTGACACAGCTTTTGGCTTTGACTTTTTCCGTTGCTGGGCTCCACTTTGTCTCCAGTTTCCACCAGGCGCAGGTGTCCTGAATGATGCCTCAGAGCGTTAACTGCTTCTGTGCTGGAGAGGCCAACAGCGTCCTCAGGATGGCTGCTCAGCTTCAACAGGGGCATGAAGCTATTTGGAAACATCTGGATCTGGGGCACTGAGTGGAAGGTATGTATCTGGGGGAAACATCTGGAGAAAAAAACTGCTTCCAGATGTGTTTGGGCAAAAATGCTATTTAAATGTAAACTGAATATATGTTACTGTCCTGCCTTACAAGCATTCGGAAAGAGTCTGATTGCAGGGGAGTCCGAGGTGCTGGCTGCTGCTTGTCGGTGGAGGTCTGGGTGCAGGACAGTGTCTGCAGATGTGCCTGTGCATTCGCTGTGGGTAACGGTGCGGTTCGTGGTTGGGGAGAGTGTCACATTATTTTCTCTTGTACAAGCCAAGTTATTCAATTCCTCATGTCGAGTATTTCTTCCAGATGTGGCCTTACAAAAGCAAAGCTTTGCGGCACTGGAGAGCAGACAGGCTGTTTTTTGGTAGCTGTGCTCCATGTGTGTAACTACCAGACATTATCTAGGATTCATTCTTCTGCGGAGGGAGCGTGGTGTAAAGCCGCAGGAGGTGTGTGACTCCTTAGCAGGGAGAGCTAGCCTTGCTCCCTTCCTGCCTGGCACAATGTTCTTCCCCCTTCTCTGTGACCTCCTGGGACTGTGGGAAGGGACAAAGTGATGGTGACGTCCTCCCCACCCTGGGCATCCTGCACAGGGACCAGGCGTTGCACCCTGTTCCCGTGGGAACATCCAGGCTGCAGGTCAGTGCTCTCCTTCCCTCCCATCCAGCAAAGCCAGCCTGTGGCACTGCCGTTGCGGTGTTAATCTTCCCCAAGCACGTGGAAGCAGAGCCTGTCACTGGTAAACCCAGTACCCAACAGACGTGTTCCTTCTCACAGTGCTTTTGCGGGAGGTTTGAGATGAAGAGAGAAAACGTGGAAATCATTTTTCTCTCGCTTTCAGTCTCCGACGGGTAAATCCTTAGGAGGCCGGTGCCACACAGTGAAGGAAGCAGGGCTGTGCCATCCCTGCCCACCCAAGGTTTCCCTGCTTTGTTCTATTTATTGAGCAATGATTCTGACACTCTTTCCCAGACTGTGACTCATAGCAGCGCTGTCTTTGCATAAGCCATGCGTCTTGGAGCGCTTTATAGATACAGGAGCTGCAGGAGCCTCACAGGAGCCAACTGTGTTTATTAAAAGATGATCAGATGTTTCCTCCCTTAAGGCAGTGTCTAGCTGAGGCTGAGTAATAACTCATTACCAACAAGACAAATAACTGCTTATCATCAGGTCAGTGCCTTCACCAGCCCTTCTGTTAGTGACGGCAGGCACCATGCTTCTCCTGCACCAAGCACCGGTGGTCTCAGCACCCAGCACAGGGGGGTAAGAAGGGAGCTCCCTGCCAGACCCCGCTCCGGTCCCTGTCCCTTCCCCTGCCAGCAGCCTGAGCAGGGGCAACCCCAGGCTCTGCTCCACTGCTCAGCAGGGTTTGGCCCCGGATTAAGCTCAAGGAACAGTTTTATCCAGCCCTGGTGTAGCTTGTTTCCTCCTACTTGTGGAAGCAGGCTGCTGTAGCAGCCTCGCAGTCCATGTCTTTCTGTCCTAGTGCTGGGGACTCAGAGCAAATGCACCAGAGCTTGCTGTGGCCTGGTGGAAAAATCAATGGTGGGCCAGTGCAGTGTGCCACAGAGGTGCCCTGGGAGCGCTGCCGGGGCCGTGGGAGAGGCAGGATGTCACGCTCCGACACGTCCCCCGTCCCCGTGTGCCCCTTGCTGCCCGGCACGGCAGCGCTTGCTCACAGGCCTCTCTCAAGAGAGGCTGGGCAGGAGGGGGAGGCAGCAGAGAGCAGGGCCAGCTCTCGTCCCCTTGCAGGACGTGGGGCTGGGACCCTCGCAGGCTTGGTCAGAGGCTTTTCTCAGATGCCATCCTCTGGCGCGGCCGCCGCGGCCCTCCCCTGCCAGATGCCATGGCATCTCTCCATGTCCTTTGTTCCCTCCCTTGCTTACGTGTCTCCATTGATTTATGGCTGTTGTGGAGCAGCCTGACCGCAGCTCAGCTGCTTGCCCAGACCCCGGCTGGGCTGCATGCCCTCGCCCCTGGCCTGCTGGGCAGGGAGGGTTCTGGGGAGAGGTCCAAGCCCCATATGCAGTAGGGCCCCCCCTGCATTTAAACACGTGCATGGACTTTTCTTTCACCTCTGAAAGCACCCGGTGTGAATGAAGTGCTTTCAGGGGGAGGAGATTGCTGGGAGCCTTGCTCTCCCTGTGCATTGGTTGCAGCCCATAAAAGCATCCGAGGAATTCGCCATGGCAGTCCCTGCGCGGGTTGAGCACAGTGAAAGCCACCCTTTGTTCCCGCAGCCCGGACCGCCAAGTCCCACACACCGATGGGGCTGGAGTCTGCGGAGCTGGATGTGGGCTCCCGCCGGCACGTCGCCCTTAGCGGCCCAGTCGTGGGTAACCACACTGCACCAGGGCCATCGGGAAAGGGTTTTCCCATGTCTTAAGTGAGCAGCCTGGGGTCAGCAGCGTTAGGCGCTGCCGGGGCACGATGAAAGGATTTCCCCGGGGTTTACCAGCAGGGTTGAGCGCCTGCCGGTACACACGGTGTGGCCCAAGCTTTAGCCCTGTGCTGCTTAAGCTGAGTCAGAGGAACGGAAGTCCCTTCTTACACAGATATTTTTCCACAAAGTGTTTGATTACAGGTTTGGGGTCTAATCTCGCGCCCATCTCACGCAGTTTCCCGGCTGGCCGCGCCGCTCGCCTGCTGCCTGCCGGGGCCGCTCTGGCAGGAAAGGACGGAGGGCTGACACCGAGCCAGGACTTGCCTCCGCTGCAGCCTGCACACAGGCGGCTGGCGCCCGGCCCAGAACATGGCTCTGGAAAAAAATAAATGCCTTTTTGTTTCTGAGGAAAGCCCAGAACGCTTCGGCAAGGACAAAACCTCTTCCTAAATCCGGTTTTAAAAGTCCTGTTTTCTCTAAGGGTTCAAAATCACCTGGCCAAAAGGATCTGCTCCTCTGTGGCCCGTGGGTCAGCTTGGACGGGGTAAACCTGGACCCACATTCCCTCTGAAATTGTGGCTTGCAGGGGGACTGAGGGATGGCACCCATGCGGCCTCCTTCCAGCAGGGTCCCCACCCATGGGTGCTGGTGGTCCCGCTGGCAGGTGGTCCCTGAACCTTTTCTGTGTTGTAATTAGCAGAAGAAAACCACTGGGTGACTCAGCAAGCGTCGGCTGCCAGGCCAGGGCTTTGACGCTGCCACTGTCCTCCAGCAAGACTGACACGTGCAATTCAGGCAGAGCCTGGGCTGGCTAAAGATACC